ATATATATTCAAAATACATATATGATTAAGGAATACACATAAGACCAAATATACAGAAGACATAACATAACACAACACAACAGAGGTGACAAAATGCTCGGCTCAAGACTCCAACCAGAGGTCGCCCACCCTCTCGCTCCTCCACACGACCCAACGCCCAGTGTCGCATCACCGCCCCCTGGGCTTTGACATTGCCCGAAGGTCATTCCTGACAAAGCTGTGCGCATTCTGGAGAATCCCTAAATTAGTACCAGCCCGCCCAGGTCACCACGAACTTGTGTGGGGATCCGCGCATCGAGGAAGTCAGATCCTCCATCGGACTCACCCACATCCCCACTGGCGGCGGTCGGGTCTGTCTCCACAGGGCTGGGACACAGGCCCGAGCAGCATTGAGCATGTGAATCAGTATAGAACGCTGATAAGCTTTCCGTGAGATTGGGGCCAGGTGAAGGAGGTATACCGCGGGTGTGAACGGTATTGACAGGACTGTAATCTTCGTCACCAGGTCCGCAATTTGGGACCAGAAGGCTACAACCCCGGAACATTCCCAGAAGATATGTAATAAAGAACCCTCCTCCTCCCCGCACCTCCAGCATGCCGCCGGGACCGAGGGATACATGGCGTGCAACACCTTAGGAACTCTATACCATTTGGTCAATAGTTTGTAGCCAGCTTCTTGGTATCTATTAGCCATGGAGGATTTTAGTGCAAAGTGTATCACGCGGTCCACTTGTGCCGGGCTAAATTAAATCCCTAGATCCGCGGCCCATTGCCTGATGAAATAGGGAGGAGGAAGGTCCGGGGGGCTACGAAGGCTGTAGGAAGGATAACATGTGTCTCACAGGTTCCGCCTGCTTGCACATTGTTTCGAAGTCTGTTCACCGTCTCAGTGGGGGAGTCCCCGCCTTCGTGGTGCACAGATAGTGGCGTATCTGCAAGGTGCTCCATGTCCGTAATGGCGGGTCATGGATTCCCAGTATCTGGGACATAGACATCCACTGCCCCGACTCTTAAAACTGGTATAGCCTCGTACGGGCCGAGGCTGTAAGCTCAGATGCCAGTGGGTTATGCAGACCCAGAGGAAAGTGCGGGTTTCCTGTCAATGGTACGGGGGGTGATGGCTGGGGGGAGATACCTGTCAAGGGTAGCACCCTGCCTACTGCCTGCATTGTGGCCCGGACCAGGGGGTTAGACCAGATCCAAGGGGCATTCTGTAAGGGTATCCCACATCCCCCCAGACCCAGAGGAAAGTGCGGGTTTCCTGTCAATGGTACGAGGGGTGATGGCTGGGGGGAGATACCTGTCAAGGGTAGCACCCTGCCTACTGCCTGCATTGTGGCCCGGACCAGGGGGTTAGACCAGATCCAAGGGGCATTCTGTAAGGGTATCCCACATCCCAGCTGTTCTAGTGTCACCCATAGCTTATGCCGGAAGTTGCAGCACCAATCAGTCACCACGGATAGGTGTGCCGCTTTGTAGTACATCACCGGGTCGGGAAAGCCAAGGTCACCCGCCCCCCTAGATCTGGACAAGAGCTGATGTCTTAGGCGGGCCCGTTTGTTCATCCGTAGATAGGCGAGGAACCGGGAGTGCAGCTAGCGTAGAAACGTGGCCGGGACTACAACAGGTAACGTCTGAAGGATGTACAATAATCGAGGCACGACTGTCATTTTTAAGATGTTGTTGCGTCCTAGCCATGTGAACGTGGGTCGTTCCCAAGAAGCTAAGTCTGTGAGAATCCGCTTTCGGAGCGGAAGAAAGTTTAGAGCGAACGTCTTACGGATGTCCGCGGGTAGGAGAACTCCCAAGTACTTGATGCATGTATCTGCCCATCTAAAGCGTAATGATTCCTTCAGTGTTACAACCCAGCTATCAGGGAGGGAGACGTTTAGCGCTTCCGATTTGCTCCAATTTAGTTTGAAGTCCGTCAATTGACCGCATATTTTCAGGGCCTGTAGTACATTGGGCAGAGTGACCTCAGGGGTCGAGACATATAGCAGCAGATCGTCGGCATACGCCGCAACCTTGTGTTGTCTGCCACCGCAGTCTAGACCCCTAATGTCCGGGGAGGCCTGGATAGTCCTAAGGAGCGGTTCCAGGGTGAGTATGAAAATGAGGGGGGAGAGAGGGCAGCCCTGGCGAGTGCCATTTGATATGTGGAATGGCTCAGATAAGGTTTCGTTGACCCGCACTACAGCCGCTGGATTTGAGTACAGGGCTCCGATCCACTGCCTCATGCCGACCCCCAAACCAACATACTCCAAAACCTCTCTAAGGAATGCCCATGTAAGTGACAGCAGGAGAAGGGGCTGTGAAGTGGATCGGGCAATGTGGATCACATTCAGGGTTCTGATGGTGTTGTCCCGGGCCTCGCGACCAGGGACAAAACCCACCTGGTCCTGTCCAATGAGGTCCTCCAGGGGGGGGGAGCATACGAGAGGCGAGTATACGGGTAAACAGCTTGAGGTCGACATTTAGTAGCGAAATGGGCCTATAACTAGCACACTGAGACGGGTCTTTCCCTTCTTTCGGAATGAACGTTATCTGAGCCCGGAGGGAATCGTTAAGTAACATATTGCCCTTGAGGATGGAGTTGAATGCCCCCGTGAAACGGCTACCGAGAAGGTCACGTAAAGTCTTGTAATAGGTGAGGGTAAAACCATTGGGACCAGGGGCTTTACCAGGCTCCGAGTCGGTCAGGTAAGCTCTGATCGCCTGTATCTGCGCTTCAGGGTCATTCGGACCCGTTGCGGGGTGTAGGTTGTACAGCTCTGTAAAAAAGGAGTGGAATTGGCGTGGATCAAGTGACTTTCTATCTTCTTCCTCCCACAATGCAGTGACGAGTGCCACAGCAGCTAAACATGCCTCTTTGTATAGAAAAGTAAGCCATACCTTTACCTCTGATCGAAGCTGCACACATCTTTATTTCTAAATGTGTTGAGAGTGGATTCATAAATTAAGCCATACGTTTTGTTCTTTAAATGCTGCAGTCATCCATTATATTGGATGTTTTAAAATACTATCGGTGCCAGACAAAAGTGCCAAACGAAATGAATAATACATGTACTCATACTCTGCCAGAAAAATAATTCACTGGAAGCTCATAAGGCCCTAATTTACTAAACAGGCCAATACTGGGCTAAACAGGAAAAACCAAAAATAGGAACAAAGTTGATGTATATTTCTTAAAAATAGTCCTACATGCTTACAAAACACAGATAATTTACATACATTTCACACACACACACACACACACACACACACACACACACACACACTTTACTATTCTCCTATTTTTTAAATTTGTAAAGCAGCCCTGGAGGAGATTAGTCTAAGAAATAAATCACCACTTCTTCCTGTAGACCTAGTAGAAGATCAGAGAACACATATTTGGTAACCAAAGGGGAGAAACAGATATGGATGGACCCTCCCATAGCACATGGACTGCCTGCAGTTACACCATAGAGGAAACTTACCATAAGCACAGTCTTGGATGAATCACCTGAGTATCTAATACTGAAAACCACCAACGAGCCAAGAAGAATAAAAAATACCAAGGTAGCCAAGTTCCTTATATCCAAGAAACTTTCAACCAGTGGAATAGTTCCCATTGTCCAATCACAGCACAGCTCAGATGGATTTAGGAGAAGCCAAGCATTCACAGGGAGCAGGTAATTAAAAGTTAACTGTCTTGCAGGTGTTGAGCTGACAGCAGCTGGATTATCAAATCTAAAAATAAAACAGAATTTGATATATCATATTACTTGTAATCAACAAGAGCGCAAATTATTCGGAAAACTGTATTTTACTGTAGGGCATACATCAGTCCTGTAAGCACTGTAATTCTGTCACTGTACAAAGTGAAATAAAAAGGTAAAATTAAAGCTATTAAATGGTTACCAGTTCCTATGACAAAATAATTCTACACAACATATATGAGGTTTCTTGAATGGCAGTTTTACACATGGCCACTGGATATGGCTACAAGAGGTTAGGGCAGGGGCGTATCTAGCACGAGGCAAACAAGGCGTTTCCTCCCCTGCACAGCGTACAGGGGAGGAAAGAGAGAATGATCGGGACGATATGCTATTTGTTTCTACAGTAAGACGTAAGCATTCATGCTTTCCTTACCAACTAAATCCAAAACAAATCTAGGCGCATATAAGGGAGGCTGGCATTTAGTACAGTATAAATATGCAATGGATATGAAAGAGAAAAAATGCAGTTAAACAACACAATGCCAAGAAACAAATGCAAATGCTACAGTCAGAATATCTGCTCAGTTTCCCTAAAAAAAAAGAAGCTATAATAGTTTAGAATCAAGTTGCTATTTTTTTTTTTAAAGAACAAGTCTCATCTTGTATTATTTTTCACAGCGCACTCACCTAACTCCCACAGTATATGTTGCTTTTTATCTCCTGGCTCTGTGTGATGTACAAACTGAGATACAGACTTTGACAGCTCACTCCTCTTCATTTCCGACCACCCACTTTCCAGACACAAGCAAGGTTACAAGAATGCAGAGGGAGGGGTTACAGTGTCACATGAATCAGCAAATGCACCAGCACTGGAAGGGCAGCCTTGTTTTGTGTCTGGAAAGTACAGAGACAGGAAGATAAGAGGACATCTCCTTTGCCGAGCGTGGTCGGGAATTAAGAGGAGTGAACTGTCAAAGTCTGTATCTCAGTTTCTACTGCACACTGAAGCATTGGATGAAAAGCAACATATACTGTGGGAGTTAGGTGTCTGGAGGCAGGACATAATTTTTTATTTGGAATTATTATACTTCTTTCAGAGTTGCATACCAGTAATCTTCTGTTGCACAGAAAAATACATTTGGAACACAGTGGTCAGCTATGGTAAACTATAAGAAAAAAAACTAATATATATATATATATATATACACACACACATTTTATAAAACACTGACAGGCAAATGTACAGTAACCGCACAGAAAAATTTAGTTTGAATATATTTAAGCAGTTATTTTGTACTTCTACATTCCAGAAGTACAAGATAACTGCTTAAATATATACACAGACAAGAAATTAGTCTCACCTTGTGAAGACCGGAAGCTGTGACTGTATGACCTGAACACGGACTACAACAAGGAGGAGTGTGCTGAACATCAGAACAACAAGTTTAAGGAGTGTTTGAAGTAGCGAGTATGGTATGCTTCCTTTACCCAACAAAATCTGCACAGCAGTGTCCCACAACACAGGTAACGTGTACTGAAAACATAAAAAGAAGAAAGGTTAACAAATGGTGAGGCTTATCAAAGCTGTAGGTGCACAAATACACAGAATAGTACAAAACTTCATCTGAGTACCATATGCTACATTTATACATCCTGCACTTTCCCACATCTGGGCCTACTACTGTCAAGACCCAGTTATCAGCTCGACGGCTATGGTCCAGAGTCTGGATTGCAGGAGCTGAAGTTTGCCATGTGAACACCTGTTGGTCTTCAATCATTAATTTGATAAAAGTATGATTTTTTTTTTTTTGTAAAATAAAACTTGAAGGTTTAACCCCTATTAACGCCTTTTTTGACCTTCTGCCCTTAGTTGCAGCCATTTCACTTGTCAGAGACAAAATGCTGTCATTAAAATGGGACAAATCAGGAAATAAAATTTGTACTTTTATCTACTAGTTGTTTTAAAGCCAGCACTGGTTAAACTTGGAGAAAATGATTACACGTTTACTTCTGATTCCATTCCAGTGGTTTTATACATAAATACACAGAATGTGGAAAAATCGGCAAGTATAGGTTAACTGCATATAGCGCCATCCACAGTGAAACATTAAAGGCCTCTGGTATTCCAAGAAAGAAAAAAAAAAAACAGCCCTCCTTAAAAGTCCTACAATCCTGTATGTCCTCCATCCACATTATGTTTGGATTCAACATAGTCTGGGAATTTCTGTTGGGTTTCCCTTTAACTCAACCTTCTTTTGCACACTGCCTTAAGTGAACCAATTATTTTTGACAGTCCTTCTTAAAATATACACATTGTGTATGAGGTGCATACTCAACATATTCAAGACCATCGAGTCTCAGTGTCTAGACAGGCCTTTCCGAACCTTATTACCCCAGAGGAACCTTTAAAAAGAATATTGTTGGCCTTGGAATCTCTCATCAAATGGGAGATTAATCACCCACAGCTAATGGGATCCCTAGCAATGTTCAGAGATCCTACGGTTCCATGGAATTGTGGTTAAGAATTGCTGGTCTAGGACTGTCCAAAAAAGGAACTGTATAATCAGCAATAGGGTATCGGAGTTCAAATTCTAAGATAAGGTCTCACTTTCCTTTTCAGGTTCCACAGTACAGGCTATATTTCCCTCCGTTCGCCTAATATTTACCATTATGATTTGATAATTTTTTTAAAAGAAATCTGAGATAAACAAGGATGCTGTCACTGTATTCCTCACCTCGTCACACTGATCCTCTGGCTTTAGGTCTCTCAACAACCATATGCAGAGAAATACTTGTGCCTTTTCTTATCTACATACTTGTTTCCCTACGGCGTGGAGCAGAGAACCAACCTAAGAGCCCAGCATCTAGCATTTTCAGAAGCAGCTTTATTTCTCCCATTACATATTTACTTCAAGACATTACACATGTGGCATCATATTGCACACATCTGTCAAAGCATTCTTACCCCTTGTGCAATGAAGACTTCATAGACACAACAAATCCCAACAACAGTAATTCCTTGCTCTTTACACAGAGTTGCAACCGCAACAAGGAACACAGCAGCAACAATTGGAGTCCAAACTGTAAAAACAGAAATGAGTTTAACAAATGCTCATAGTTCAAAGAAGAGGTTCATTAAACATGTGAAATATCAATTGAAACCATTGGCAAGCATGTGCTATTAAAAGATGTGCAAGTCTTATTGTGTGTGATGTATAAAAGGAAATTATTAATTTTTCTACAATTTGACATTAAAGCCCAACTCCAGGCAAAGCTCTTTTTTGCTTTAGATGCAGTGGGAATAGGGTTAGGTCCGCCATCAGGTTTTTAATGCTGGCTGTGTCCTCATTTGACAAACTCCTTTTCAGTTTTTGTTTGAAAAAAACTGAAAGTTGGGCGGAGGGAAGGGGGTCAGATGGGCAGCACAGACAGTTATAAAAGTGATATTTCAATTATAGAAGGAATGATTACCTGTGCTAGTTTTATTGCTATATCTGCCCTCATCTTACTTCTACTTCCTGCCCAAGTGATGGGTATCAGCAGAACAGGAAGGAAAAGGAACTCTCATTACTGAGGTTCTGGCCTTTTTCTGCTCATCCAATCAAAACAAATCCCTGTAGAGTTAGGCTTCAATTTCAACGGCAATCTAGGAGATGCAGCTTGATCAACACTACATTTCTCAGCAATGATGTCCAAGGTGTGCAGCATAATTAACACCCATTTTCATGGTGAACACAGGCTGACACTAAGGACTTGAGAAGACAAAAGGAACACACCTCTGCAGTTTGGGTCTGTTGAAATCTGATGAAGTGTCTGTATAGCGTGTGTATGGCATTTACCACAAAACACAGAGGAAAATCCTGCATATGCCTCCAAAACCCGGGGAGCAAATCTGTGCTTCAGATGCAGCTACACTATATGCCAATGTGAACCACTTTTATGTTTCCTTGTACATGCAAATAGGTCTATAGGTTTAATTCTTACCTATTGAATTGTCTGGGCCCTTAGATTTGGTATATGATAGAAATGCAGCAAGTAGGAATATAGAGGACAAAAGTTCAGCTCTACCAACAACTCCAGTAACCTGTGGGAGAAGCACAAGGGACAGGCTTTGTCATTTTATTATGTAGAAGACATAAAAAAAAAAAAGCTGATATCTGGCTACTACAGACATGACACACATGACTTTCTGATCATTAATCTTAAAATATCTCTCCTTTAAGCTTTAGCCCCTATTGAGTGAGCATTTCCAGAGAGTTTAAAAAAACTTTTTGTTGTGTTTTTTCGCTACTTTTTTCAGGCGGTTTCAGGCTTGACCACATTTGTTTTAGCCAATGGAAAGTTATTATTAGGAGGCAGTAGTTAGAGAACTATGAGGTGAATGCTATCCACACATCCTCATAGATTGAGCCGACCTGTGACAAAGTAGCTGTTATAGGTCGGCTATATTGATCAGGAAGTGAGCGAAGACATACCGTCGCTCGCTCACTTTCCTATCATCTCCCTGCAGAGAGTGTTGACTGTCAGTCAATGCTCCCTGCAGGGATTCCCCCTCCCCTCTCCGATCATCGAGCAATGACTAAAGGAACGGACGGGTGAGGGCGTGGACACAGCTGGCTCTGCCTCTAGATAGACAGAGCCCGCTGTCACTCACGCAGCTGGGTGGATCCAGATAGTATTGTTGCAATAGCCCGCTAAATACTGAGCTTTGGGTCACGGGAGGAGGTTAGTACATGTCCTCCCGTGACCCTAGAGAGAACTGTGGGGAAAAACACTTACCCCATAGGTCTCTTTCAAGAGCTAAATCGCGAAAAAAACATGCATTACAGGTTTACCCATAGAAGTCTATGGGGCCAAATATATGCAATTCCCCCGGAAATGAAGCTCATGTACATTTCCGAGCTTCAAGCTACCAGCAACATGCGACAAAATGCTCAACTGTGAACAGGCGCTATTGAAAATAATATAATGTTGAGCATTGTCACGCTTTCGGAAACAGGCAACAACATGCTGGGAATGGGGGCTTAGGACTGTAAAACATGGCATCAGAAGCTGAACAGAGGGGAAAGAAGGTTAAAATTTCAAAAATGCAGCCCATATCATTTTAGTGTGGCACAGAAAAGCAATTACTCTAAAATATCATCTAAATGGAAAAAAAGTCAGCTTGATATACTTTTTCAGCTGTACACATCATGGTATACTCAGTGAGTAGTAGGAATAGGGACCAAAGCTAGGTATATAAAACAGATTTTTTTTATTTTTTATAGAGCGATCTGAAAAAAAAAATATTCTCTAACACACCAGACATTTAATAGCAACAAGGAAAAAGCAAATTATTATGTGTAGTATAGCAACATGAAGTGAAACTCGAAAACGGTTTCCATTTGACATTTTATTCATCTGTCTCTCACAGATGCCTAGACATGGCTCCCATATTTCAGTGGGAGTATGAGGACCTCACAAAACAAAAGTGACCATTACTCCTGACAGAACAACCCCCTGCCACCTCTAAGGTATGCTCACTCATCTATGCTCCCTAGCTGATTCCATGCTGAAGAAGTTGTCCCTGGCTAAGCTGCAGTGTTGGAGGTTGTTAGAGCTTACCTGATAGGATGATTTCACTCCCCACCAATGTGACAGTGTTTGTATCTGGTGACCACCCACTCTAATCTGTACACATTTACATGGGGAAGGACACATGCTGCACAATACCAGGATGCCTCACTATGTCAGGGCAAAGAAGTGAGGAATTCAATGGAGGGGGGAGGCGGTGAAGGAACACAGAAAAGCTATTATACCGTGTTGGGAGGGGTGAGCTGTCAGGAGGCATTGCCATGTTGTCCTGAATGGGCAAAGTGACAGGGCCTCTTTAAAAAGCTTTTTAGAGATCTGTTTTCACTTTGAGTCTATTTCTGATAGTATAAAATAAAACAAAGTTAATCCACTGTGATCCAATCTTCTAGGACTATAAAACATGAAAACTTCCAAGAGGTTGAATAAATGTTATTGGAACTGACATTCCAACCACCAGCGAGAAGGAATGCCATAATAGTCTCAGAGCAGTGAAGCCGATACTATCCCATCTCCACAGTCAGTGACATTACTCCTAGAGAACTAGCAAGTAGTTCAGAGTTGGGGACTGTGATCCCATTACAGCCTTACCACAAAGGTGCTTGGCTACGCAAGAGAATACAAAAGATAAGTATTACTATGAGCCTTGGTTAAGTGTGACTCGATAACACAACATTTCTCTTCTGCGCACATTTCCCCAGGCCCCCTTCAAATTTGACGCGGTCATACAGAGCTGTGAGGCAAAGCAAAATATTTTACAGGGCAATTTTGAGTTCACGGTAAGCCAATGTTTAGGGATTTGAAAGAACAGTGTTTTCCTCATTTTACAGAATGAGAAAGTCTTCAGGTGCCCCCATGTGGTGAAGTGTGTCATGAAACACTCTTCTGACAAAGACATAAACCAGTATATAACATTGTTTTAAACTTAAGATCTCAAAAGGAGTGAAAAATGCATAGTTTCATTCAACAGCATCTTCCTTGCAATTATTTTCTTTCCTCAAAGGGTCACAGCTGGAAAAAGTTGGCCAAAATACAGAATGTATTATATAAGAAACTCAAATGCAGCAACTTTCACCAGTTGCTCAGATGAGATCACTGTATATAGCGAGTAAACAAAAAGTAATGAAAACCATTTGCCTTCTGTTGTGGGTTGCCTACTATCTAAGGAAGAAAATTATTACTTGCCATCTCCATTTTTTTTTTAACTACTAGGAGCTAGCAAAAGAACAAAAAACAGATCAGTTGAAAAGCAAAGGGAAGGTATGTGAATCTAGAAGGGCCTGCTTTGAAGTGGATCTGTTGCATTTCTTTGCCTGGAAAAAGCACAGGTTCAATTTAATCGGAGTTCTGTGTAAATCAATCCATCCGGAATTCAGACCTCTATCCCTTTTTTTTTTCTTCCCTCTTTAAAGTTTAACTAAGTTCATATGCCATGCATGTCTAAGAATAAGCGACATAACAGCTAATAAATGGAAAGCATTTCCTCTCTAAATATGGCACCTTGCAAAAGTATTCAGATCCTTGATCAATTCTTGACTTTTACAGATATGTTAATTTCGTCAATTAAACCCAATACATTTTTATTTACATTGCTTTCATGTAACAAAAAATATTTTACGAAACCAAGTCTACACATCGGGGTTTATTTATAAACAATTTGCCTGTTCACCCTGCAAATATGTGAATGTTCTCACTATGTGAATATATACTAGTATACCAGTAGTCATCAATGCCATAAAGGCCTAACAATGTGCCCATAGTATATCAGGTCTCCACTCTATATACTATGTTGAGATCTATGGTGGGATGTCAACCTACATGTATTGGAGGAAAGGAAGCACAGTTTTGTGACATAATTTTGCTGACATTACCCAAACTCCACCTCAGCAAGGTTGATTGACAAGGGCTGCACAAGAAGCTGCTACATTCTGTCTCAATCCATATTACTGCTAAAAAATTGGACACTGGTGCAAGGAACACAGGGAAATGCCATGGTATGCCACCATCATGTAAGACCATTCAACTTCTCCTGAAATCTGCTTTTTTTTTTTAAAGAAAAGTATCCCCCTAAACAATGTGAGGTGCCACATTTCAAGCTGAAAGGTACTTGTTTAATTTATTTTATTAAATAAATACTGAACAAAAGCAAGATGGTATAACAATTCAACAAAAGGTTAACAGGGTGACTGGACATATGTTTTAAGGAACCTGAAGTACAGATATGAAATAATGTAGAATTCAAAAAGCCAGTCAAATGCATCTAAAAAGCCAGCAGTACTGAAGGAGTCTGAGAACATGTGCTTGCTTTGAACTAATCCCAGCTGTATGTTTTTAGATATAAGCTACCTCTTTTCCTTGGATTTGCCCAACCCTGTAGTAAACATATGTTGTATCTCTTGGTAAAATCATGGTCTGTTTCACAACAAACCTTTTTGAAGTTACATTTCTTTAGACCCCCCATCTATCACCTAGATACATATGCAATGTATTTCTTTAAAGCTACAGATATTGGAAACATCTGAATTTAGTAGTACTAGGAAGAAGCAAAACTTTAAAATAGGCTCAAGTTTAATGGAAAAACTGTATACTGAGGGGTCGTAATAATTAAATACTGCACTACATGATGTCAATCAACAATGTTGCATGTGAAAACAAACATATGGATTATCCTGATTATTTGGGAAGGGGGGGCATGTTGTGGGAAGACCGGTTAAGGAATAATACCAATACGGAGAATTGCCACTACACAGAACTCACAATAAATGTGTATAATCTATCCGCCATTGTTTTGTGCATATGTCTCATATCACAACAGAAACACACACACACACTAAAACTTATGTCTACTGACAGCAGTGTGAATCATTTTTTTTGTCTGATCTATTTAAATAGACATAAAAAAATAAGTGACTAGCCTTGGCATATGCTATGGTCTTTTAGAATTGCTTACTTATTTAATAGATTGGTTTCCAGTGGCAGCCTGTGGTCTGGCTTGACTATTTGTGCATACCTGAAACTCCTCCAGGAGCATCCAGAAATTAAACACAGTAGCTGGAGTTCCAGATTTGTAAGTACCATCGCCATTAATGAAGAGGTGACATTACACACAAGCAATGCAAGACTCAGAAAGAAGAGAAGCAACTTTTCAGAGTAGCTGCTCACAAGCTTGACTTGTTGCAGGCTCTCACAGTGCCGCTGAGGGCAATATCTGGCAGTTGTGAAGGGGCGGTGCAGTGTAGTAAAGATTTTTACAAGAAGTAGCTTAGGCTAATGGAATACACATCATCATTAGACACATCAAATCTGCTTGGTGCTGTATCCTTGGGTAATACAGGTAACACAAGTTCATGTTAACTTATCCTAAATGTAGTGAAAAATGGTCTGCAATGTGGCTGTGCAAGGTGTTACAAAGTTAAAAGGTAAGGTTGTGAGGCTTTCAGAGCCGAGACAATTGAAAGAAAAATCTTCAACCACATATAGTGATGCATAACCTTATTCTTAAACTAAATCTAACCCCTAAAATAAGCCCATAGCACGTAACCAATCCCCTAAGCACTTGAATATTACCCATAACCTAACCCTGAGACCCAATTGTCCCGCTAAACTTAACTCTTAAGACTAAATTGACCCTTAAACGTCTAACAACTCTGAAACCTAATCCTTAATTGAATCCTGAAAATTATACCACAAAACTGAAAAAACACCAAATAAAGGAAACCAGTAATGAGAGAAACATGAAGACTACTATGCCTGACTTATCTTTCTGATAATGCTTGGATGTAATTTTGGACGGTCTTGCTTCAATACTCTAAATCACTTACCTGAGGGCTAGCTCACACCACAAACAGTGCGTTCCGGCCCGATCTGGATTACATCCCGGCTGGCTCCTTGCGTTTACGGGCGGTGCACTGAAGTCAATGGCACCACAGCCACACACCCCCGTCTGCAGTGCAAACGCCTGCACCTGACGCATGGCACATCAATGCCTGTGTTCCAGTCTGGTGCGCTCAGAAAAAATGCTGCATGCACTATTTTTTTTGACCGCACAAGAATGCAGGCATTGATATGTCACGCATTCGGGTGTGGGCGATCGCACTGCCCTGTGCAGATAAAGAGTTTTGACTGCATGATTTCCCAGGTCAGGCACTTAAAAATATTTAAGAATGAGATCAGCAATGGAAGCTTCAATACTTCTACCATGACAGGATTACATTAACGCATTTGTGAACATGTTGACAGGCTGATAATGACTCATGAGTGTGCTGCTGCTCCTTCATTCCCAAACAGTAGGCTGGGGGGGGGGTGTTCTTGGTCAAGCTGTGCAAGTTATGATGTAGAGTCAGAGATGCTGTCTGGTAAGGGTAACTGGATTGCAACAGTGGTTGAACATATATACAGATCATTTTGGCATTTAAACGAGTTTCCATACATGCATTTCAACCTGATATTCCCTTATAATGCATACTTACCTTAAAAGGAGAACTATGAGGCAAATGATTTCCACTCATCCTCATAGTTAGAGCCGACCTGTGAAAAAGAAGCTGTCACAGGTCGGCTCTATCGATCGAGAAGTGAGCAGAAACATGCCGCCGATCAGCTCACTTCCCGATTGTCTCCCTGCAGTGAGCGGTGACTGTCAGTTACTGCTCCCTGCAAGGATTCCCCCCTCCCCGCTCCGATCCTCCAGCGATGAGAGGAGGAGCAGACGGGCAGCCAGCTGTCACTCACACAGCTGGGTGGATCACGACAGTATTGTCGGGATCCGTCCCAGCGCTCCCAGTATGCCTGCGATATACTGAGCTTTGGGTCACGGAAGGAGGTTAGTATATGTCCTCCCGTGAGCCTAAAAAGAACTATACTAAAATATAGTTTAAATACTGACCCCATAGTTCTCTTTTAAGGGCTTGTTCACATCAACTGCAGACCAGATCTGCATGAGTTTCTGCACACGCAGTGCAGTGGGTTGTGCCGCGTTTTTGATGCTTTTCGGGCCATTTTTTAAAAATTTTAAAATGGGCTTTCAGTGTGTTCCAGAGCAGGTAAAATAGGGCTTGCTGCAGTTTTTTTACATGCTCTGGAACTGAAAGATGCGGTGTGAACTAGAGCCCAAAATACCATTGGACTACATTGGACGCAGTTTTAATCCGGTCTGTAACAGATCTGCTCTGCTCCTGGAACGCGCTTGGTGTGAACAAGGCCTCACACAGAACCTTTTTTTTAACGCAGAGGTTTTGAAGACAGCAAAGTAAGTTGTTTGTTGTATAATGTCTCTCAGCTCTTGATGGACCATAAGACTACTAAAACCAAGAGAAGTAGCTCCAAGTGTGCTAAGAACAATGTTAAGTAAGTGAAAGCATAATAATGACTTGACACCTGAAATTGGATCACAACACTATGCTGTCCAAAGTTTGGAGTCAGAATTTTGGGGGTAAGTGTATTTCATTGAAAGAAGCCAACATGTTTCTGGAGAGCAAACTCCTCCTTCCTCAGGGGTCTTTTGATTATGAATCACTGCTACAAAATTTGAATATGCAAAGCATCTACTCAATAGCAAGTACAGCATCCAGGAGCACCTAGGTCTGCAGTTGCTACACACCAGGCATATTCAAGAGACTGCATGCTTTTGAAACCAAAGGTAGCATTCATTCACCGTTAGAAAAGCCTAATGGAAGGGAGTGTTTTCTACCCATAAACAAAATATGCAACTTAATAAACAGCTTTAGGAATGCTACTTGTTTCTTTATATCGGACTCAGAATTTTGGATAGCCAGGTGTTCTTAACCAACCTGGGGTTCAATCAGGTTGTTGTTTGCACCTTGATGTTTTTGGAGCAGGTAGCAATAAAAGAGCTGCACTCACAGTTAGATCAGGATACACTGTTAATCAAAATATGAAAGAAAGAACCTTTTTAATTAAAATGTTTACCCGATACAATTTTAGGAAGTAACAATGATGTCACTCATTAGTTCAACAACCCTATGCAGCCATACTTTTAATGAAGTATAGATTTTTCAGAAACAAAAGGCTGCAATAAAAAAAAGACCACAAAATATATAGAATACTTACAGCCTCTGTATGTATTGGATGAACAGCAAACAAAAGAGCTGCAATCAGGCTTGTTTGGTTATCCAAGAAGAGTTTGCAAACCTTCAAGAAAATCACGCACACCACAGCATGGAGAAGCAGGTTTAAAAGATGGTAAGAGACTGCATTTAATTCACCGAACAAATAGTTCAGGCGAAAGGTCAGGACTGTAAGGGGGCGGTACGATTTATGACTTCTCTCCTAAAAAGAAACAGTTAAGAAGATTAAGGACATGCATTTGTCAGGTATAAAAATACTACATAAAAGAAAAATCAAACAGAAACGCCAATCATCTTGACCAAATTTATGTTTTAAAACTATTGAGTTGCTTTAGAAACATATCACTTCAAGTAAGTCCAGCTGGTGGTCATTACGTACTTACATTAGTGTTGAGAGTGCTGTCACACAGCAATGCAACAATAAAACCAACAATAAGAATCATGATATTTCTATTGAATTATAGATCAACTACATCTGAAAAAAAGGACAGTATTGTCATTTTTCTGCAATAAGTTATAGCTAGAAAAGACAATACTGGCCAGGGTTTACCAGTGTTCTGTGGCTACAAAGAATGTTAGGAGCTGGGATCAATCAAGAACAATTGAGAGTGAGCGTAGCCTCTAGAATTACATTTCCTAACAAGCTGGAGACATCTGTTAGAAATAGAGTGATTGTTACCATAATAGTGATCTTGTAAGAAGAAGAGAAAAAATAAAAAGTGTTGTGCTGTATGAATGTGACATGGGCTAAAACGTTCACTAATTCTATTAATCAGGCCAAGGCAGTACAAAAAAAGGTTTTACCATTCTGTTACAACTTTCTACATCAGTATTGCTTTAACCAGATGATGGCCATTGATTTCTTGAAAACTATAATAGTATTTGCTAGGGCTGCAACAACTAATCGATTAAATCGATTATAAATCGATAATGAGAATCGTTGGCAACAATTCTCATCATCGATTAGTTGTTTATCGATAAGTTGCTGCTGCTCTGCTCCTCCATTCTCCTCCCAGCTGGTGCTGGCTGCAGCGGTCTGTGTCCCTTTAAATTCCTGCCTGTATCGGCAGAGGCAGCGGGGGCACAGACTACTGCAGCCGACACCAGCGGGGAAGAGAGACCGCTGTGACTGCATTCCCCAGCTTGCCCCCCTACCTCTGCTGGTGGCCCGATCCTTCTCTGCCCCACCCCCTGTGGCTCCACTGCCGCGGCCCTCTTCTGCATCTACAGGCTCAGAGCCATACCCAGCCGTCTATTGGATAGTTTAAAATGCAGAAGCCAGAAGCAGGCTGGCTATTGCACCCGCCCACTTTTTCTTTCAGGGCAGTGGGCGGGTGCAATATGGTTACATACAAGATAGGGACTGTAGGTTTGTACTTAAGTTGAATTTGTATGTAAGTTGGAACAGGTACATTTTTTAAGTGTAACGCCAGCCAAAAAAACATTAGCCAATAGCAGGCTGGCTATTGCATCTGCCCACTGTCAATCAGCAGAGGAAGGGCCTGAAGGAGAAAGTTCTCCATCAGGTCCTCCCATGCTGATTGACAGCAGAGAGTGGGCGGGTGCAATAGCCAGCCTGCTATTGCTCCCAGCAATAAAGTAAAAAAAAAAAAAAAGTTAAAAGGAAATTTAATGTTTAAGCTAAAATTAAAAAGACTAAAAAATGTTGAAAAGGTCAAAAAAATAGAATAAAAGTTAAATAAAAATTAAAAATGCAAATAAAAAGAAAGGTTAAACTAAAATTAAAAATAGAAAAATGTTTTAGGGTGTATTATTTTAAATAAAAGGTTGGTTATTATATTATATTGGCTTAGAATTTTACAACTCACATTATTTAAAATCCATAAACGCATAAAAAAAACACTACCCCCATACACATAACAAAAATACACCCCCCGCAGGAAGGAGGCAGATCTATCCCTGGTGCTCTAGTGGGTGATTAGTGAGGTCTGCTGCAGACTTCACTAATCCATCCTTTCTTTCGGCCGGAGCTCAGAATTGAGCACCAGCTGAAAGGATATGAGTGCCAGTGGTGGCAGGAGCAGCCCTGCTGTCTACATTCGACAGAGATGCAGACCGTGTAGCTGCTCCTGCAGGTCAGGTACACGGTCCTTGACCGCGTAGCTGACATGTCAGCTGGTTGCGCGCAGGTACTTTGAGACCACTACTGTACACGTTGATGTCATAGTTTTTTACAGGAGCTTGCTACTGCTTTGATGCAATCATGGGTAGATCACTACCAAAGTAATTAGTTTGCATTAGTTATATGTTTGTGTGTGTGTGCGCACGCATCTTAATAAATAGGCACACAAAACAGCACCTCTTATTCACTACTCATACAGATTGTTACACTACAGACAGGCAGCTATATTCTCATTCACGCTGTATTTAGGCAGGGCATAATTCTTTGGAAGCTTTAAATTGGAACATCTGAAAACTGTTTTGAAAAGATCAGAGGTTATGAGAAAGATATTCAAGAATTAGATTGCATGGAATACGGTCAAATTTCCATCAATGTGTTTATACCTCAAAGTTTAAAAAGTGTATTTTTTTTGTTTTGGAAGATGCTGGTGTTCTGTATAGCATGAACTGAAGTCCAGGTGAATTACAGGAATAACAGAATAGATGATTATATCCAAGTAATTGGACATTTTCATTTGTGACGAGCCAAAGACTAAATGATTATAGCTGGTCTTGTAGAAACTTCTGAATATTACAGAACTTTCAGGAGGGTCTAATGAGTTGAAAGTGGTTATTGTTTATTTCTGGCAAAGCATTATACATTTCCTTGCACCATTTCCGTACATCTAAAAAGGTCTATTCTCTCCCATGAAAAGAAAAGAAAAAAAATGCATTACATAATATGTTCCGAACAGTTGCGCTGTGTACAAAACCCATAAAGTAGCAACACAATGCAGAAAAAAATGTTGATGTTTCTGTCTGCTGTCTCAATCCAAAACTAGGAGCCAAACCTCACTAGTTCAGTCTCATTCCAAAGGCCATGTCACAATGGCAATTCTGTCGCATGTGACACCTTACTATCAGCAAATCACCAAATTGCAACTTTTCATTTCTCTATTGGAAGTCACTAATGAGCCACAACTTGCTGGTTTGAGCAACAGAATTGCTAACATACAAAAGAATATGGACACCGGCACTCTAACTGCAGGTAGGATACGTCTATTTATTGATGTACATGCAGAAGTAGCAGCATAACATGATCAGTGCCACGTTTGGGGGTCATGTAGGATCCCCTTCATCAGGCAGAACAAAAGGATCCTACGTGACCCCAAAACGTCGCACTGAGCTTGTTATGCTACTTCTTCTGCATGTATGGCAATAAATAGACGTATTCTACCTGCTGTTGGAGTGCCGGTGTCCATATTCTTTTGTATCACTGAGACTGTGGCCATCCGTCGACTACCGATGCACCCATGTTATTCTGTTGGATGAGCGGTCAGGAGTGCAATGGGTACATGGACTGTAAGCAGAATTGCTAACAGGACACTTAAAGGCCTTAAAGACAAATTCACCTCTTACCTTAACTTGCAGGCCCTAAACTATCCTAAGCATAAACACCTCTGCCCAACTTCTTGCTTATCTCCACTGATAGTGGTGATCTCCCAAACTGTGTACACCTATACCTGTAAAATCTGGTGCCATGCTGCCAGCACCTGCATAGTAATGCCCCATAGACATTAATTAGATGTTGCTACAATAGTAGGAGTACACCCCATTCGAGTAAATGGGATGTTACTATGCCGCCTTTCCGTCCCTTCTTGCCTCTTGTACATTCCTATTAGCCAGTGAGGCTGCCCATCATTGTGATGGGCCAATTGCAATGTGTGGGAGTGCGGCTTAGTATCAATCTCTGCAACGTTCTGGAAGCGCCAGGGCCTGTAAGAATTGTTTAGCATCCAGCCATGAGGGGAGATGCTGCAGGTATATGGAGGTACCTCTTGATGCCAGAACTTTCTACCTAGAGCAATTTGTTCCACTCCCACTGACAAGAGTCTGTTTAAAGTGAACGTAAACTTGAAATGAATGCCATTTAGATTGACAATTTTTATTTTAAATAAAATACTTTTTAATGTAATCTTCGCACCCTAATCCTGCTGAGCTTCTGTAGTCTCTTTGTACTGGATTTATAAACCTGCAAAGCTTGCCCTCGTGTTATGAGATAATCACACTAACTATTTTGGTCTCTGTCATCCATTCTGTCCTTTATGTGCCCTTATAAGAAAACAGACTATCATGAACTAAATATCTATATATTTTCCTGACTTTCAACACATTAACACTCCCCTTTCTATGAACTCCTTAGGTTTCAGAAACTACATGTAATATGACAGATGTTTCTCTTAGTTCTTAAAATTTTCATTAGAAAAATTCTAATTTCAGACATTACGAGGCCAAAAACCACAACATAGACATCAACTTATGGTAAGACTGCGGCCAGGAGGCCGTGAACCTTCTAACTTCTATCATGTATTTTATATTGGTAATTTCATTTATGACGTATTTTGTACCTACTCAATTTGGGATGTAATTAATTATTATGCCAATTTACCTACCTTATGACTTCATGTATTCGCTTTGCTAAGCCAGAACAATTTCCTTTTTTTTTTTTTATTGTTCTCACACATGTTAATATAAAGCCTTTGATATCTGATAACAAGGTCTGTGATCCTGAAGAAGACTGTGTTCCGTATTGCCAGGACAGTACACACTTTATATCCATGAGCATAAACTCCAGTGATGGCTTTTATTATGCAGTGAATAATGCCTACACGATATATACTGAAAGGGCCAGGTGTAGTCCCCATTGATAACTCAAATGGTAGGCTAGAAAAAACGGTTGTCTCCCTATAACAGGAAGTGCTGGCATAGAACGTCATGGTTGAATCACCAGTTATCTTAATGAACATTGCATATTTAAGAATATTGAAATTACATTAACATGTTAAAGTTTATATGAGATGTTAGTGATTGGTTTTACACATACTTTTTTAGTTTAGTCCATCTATAGATATAACGGCTTTAGTTCTAAAGGGAGGGTTAAAATCGGTGTCAGGTTTTTATTGGTGTCTGTGATTCCAACATTGTGTGACAAATACATACAAATTATTCATTTTAAAGTCACATTTTTTAATAGGCAGAAAAATGCAAAAAAACATTTATAAAAACACTTACCTCTGACATTGGAGTCCCCCAGAAGTCATTTTGGAAGACCTTTTTAATTGGTGTTGAAGGATGCAGATCTTTATTATCCAAAATTGCAGAAACATCATCAAAAACAAAGCCACAGTACAGACTGTTCCAATAGCATGCTACGACGACACATAATAAAATGCTAGTTTCCTTCAGATTAATCTCTGCCATATTCCTATAAACTGTCTGTTAGACTTCAGTCACTGGAAGGAAAGAAAATAAAAAAATCGAAGACCATTATTTTTGTCCAAATGTAATATACATTATATATGGGTATATTCACGGTTTTGCACTGGAGAATGTTTTGTACATTTTCTAAATGCTAAAGGGGTATTTGTGTGCATCTAAAAATATGCAAACAGATACAAAATAACATATACATTTTCTAAGAGCGATTAAAGTAACTGTCATAAAAAGGGCACACACACACACAATACTGTGCAAAGGTTTTAGGCAGGTGAGGAAAACAACAGGTAATTTATCAACTTCATTAATATGCTCACACTTGGAGACTCGGATACATAGAGTTAGGACCACACTTTGCAGAGGTGCCTTGGCGCGGCAGTGTGGCTTCTACATATTTTTGGCCAAAAGTTTGTGCAACTAAAACCTCTGATTTTAACGCATACTGTTGACAGGGCTACTTGTTTGGTTGTAGGCTGGCTGGCAGGCTGAGGCTGGGGAAATTTGTGTTTTGTATTGAGGAAAACAATGCTGTAAAGTAAGAATATTTTCAGAAATAAAATTGTTAATAGTTTATTTTTATCAATTAACAAAATGGAAAGTAAATGAACAGAAGAGAAATCCAAATCAAATCAATATTTGGTGTGACCACCCTTTGACTTCTTCTAGGTTAAACTTGCACACAGTTTTTGAAGGAACTCGGCAGGTAGGTTGTTCCAAACATCTTGGAGAACTAACCACAGATCTTCTGTGGATGTAGGCTGCCTGAAATCCTTCTTTCTCTTCATGTAATCCCAGACAGACTCAATGATGTTGAGATCAGGGCACTGTGGGGGCCAAACCATACCTTCCAGGACTTCTTGTTCTTCTTTACGCTGAAGATAGCTCTTAATGACATTGGCTGTATGTTTGGGGTCGTTGTGCTGCTGCAGAATAAATTTGGAGCCAATCACACACCTCCCTGATGGTATGGCATGATGGATAATTATCTGCTTGTATTTCTTAGCATTGAGGACACCATTGATCCTGACCAAATCTCCAATTCCATTGGTAGAAATGTAGACTCGCAAGGAAAGGAACCTCCACCATGCTTCACTGTTGCTGCAGACACTCATTATTGTACTGCTCTCCAGCCGTTCGGTGAACAAACTGTCTCCCGCTGCAGCCAAATATTAAAAATTTTGACTCATCAGTCCAGAGCCTCTGTTGCCATTTTTTGCGGCCTTGTGTTCAAAAAGCCATACCTCCGACATGGAAACAAAGCTAAGCGACTCAACCATGCATAAAAATATAGGAACTGGGGTGCAGAAAATGGCAGCAGGCGCTGTGGACTGAGGAGTCAAAATTTGCAATATTTGGCTGCAGCAGGAGGCAGTTTGTTAGCTGAAGGGCTGGAGAGCGGTACAATAAGGAGTGTCTGCAGCAAAAGTGAAGCATGGTGGAGGTTCCTTGCAAGTCTGGGGCTGCATTTCTGCAAATGGAGTTGGAGGATTAATGGTGTCCTCAATGCTGAGAAATACAAGCAGATACTTATCCATCATGCCATACTATCAGGTAGGCAGGTGATTGGCCCCACACTTATTTTGCAGCAGGACAATGGCCCCAAACATACAGCCAATGGCATTAAAAATGATCTTCAGTGTAAAGAAGAGCAAAGAGTCCTGGAAGTGATGGTTTGGCCCCCACAGAGGAGACAGAAGGATTTGGGGCAGCCTACATCCACAGAAGATCTGTGGTTAGTTCTCCAAGGTGTTTGAAACAACCTACCTGCCAAGTTCCTTCAAAAACTGTGTGCAAGTGTACCTAGAAGAAGGAAATGGTGGTCACACCAAATATTGATTTGAATTTCTCTTCTGTTCATTGATAGTTTTTTTTTTTTATCACTTCTATTTCTGAAAGCATTCTTACTTTACAGAATTTTTCTCACCTGCCTAAAAGTTTTGCACAGTACTGTATGTGCTTAATATAGTGCACTAGGTTGCCAAGCTCTTTTTTTTATCTTATACTGTATATTGCAGTTTTGTACCTTCATAACTGCAGGTCAAACCGAAGTGTGGTCCAGCTCTCTTCCCAGCCAACAGTAAATTATCTGAATATCTCCATCCTATTTCTATGATAATGGAAGTGCATGCCCTTTTGGACCACTGATACATGGATAAATGGATATGTGCTTTAATCTGCAATTCCTTGAGATCCTCTTATTATCTCATACTCATAACAGATTTTACAGAAAGACACTGATGGCTGTCTAAGTCAGCAGAGGAGCATGGCTATGAATATCTTGGAACCTTAAGCCCATCTAAGGAGGATGGTGATCAAACTGGTGGAAGAAAACAGTTTATAGCCGGCAGCTCTGCAAATTTTTTTACAAGATCACCTCCACATATCATGTGATTACTTTAGTTATATATATTTTTTTTTTTTTCCTTCTAGAGCCCCTTATAAGAGTTGGCATTATAAGCTTGCATAAGCCTCTGGAAACTTTTCATTATACTGAAAGCAGTTAAAAAGGTAAAGTTGATAAAATGCGCCACATATTTATGCATTTGACATAAATATTTCCATTCTAGGTTGTCTTTTAACGAAGGCGGCAATGTCAATATGAAAGCGCTGGGTAATGGACCTGACCTAACTGACTGGTGGCCGATTTGATAAATCAAATGTAAAACATTTCTAGCATTATGGCTCTATTAGAAAGGCCTGCACCAAATTCATGACAGCTGTGCAACAAATTCAGTTAGTTCCTACGTGTGACAATTTTACATTCTGGTGCTATGGCTGCAACAAATTCATGAAGAAATACCACAATATCGATTATAAAAAATGTGGAGGTAAATAAGACCTCTTCCGTGACGGTGTAAATTGTGTCACAGACAAATTTCTGTCTGTAGCAATTATGCGACAGATTCACATACAGTATACCTTACCGCAGGGGTGAAGAAAAAATTAACATTGCCCAATCCAGAAGCCAAAAGGATTTTTTTTTTTAAGAGTTAGCTCCACTGACAACTATTAGAGAAAGCCTCAAAAGTTAGGCACCAGCTGTAATTTTTGAGGAGCATTGGCTACCTGGCTCCTGGGAATTGACCAACCTAGCCTAATGAGTGTCCACGACATCCTGTATGATTCCAGAGACTTTGTTTTATGCCAAGCAGTAAACAAAGGGATATTCCAACAAGTGGTGTACGACAAAGTTAGCAGGTCTAGTTTGCACCACAGGCATGTGTCCATTTACATCAGATTACCTTCGATCCGCCACGATCAGGTCCGTCAAAACAGAACTCTGTTTCGTTTTGTTTTCCGGACCTGGATGGAGTTGGGGGTAATCAGACGCACGTCCGTTTAGATCTGGCTGCCCGTAGGCTTTCGATCAGATCTGCCTGAAAAACTGACAGGGGGACCTGATTGGAATGCCAGTCTGCAAGGAGCCATAGGCATATACATTTATCTTACCACGAAAGGAATAACATGCTTTGGTCCCATGGGATTCATAACACCATTGTTGTCCATATGAGTGTCATTTGTTTTTCAAAAGATAAACCGAACACTGCAAATAAAAGAAAGAATTTGCAAATGTAAGTACAGTTGCAATAGCACAAAGTAAAATGCATTTCATGTTGCATCACAAATATAAAAAGGTACCTAGAGCCAGTTTGAGAAAAGAAGGCACATGTTAATTATTGGCGGATTATGAAAGAGCACTCTTCCACTTTGATTTTTACAAATATTTCCTACAGTCATTTTGTTTTCATATCGAACTTAACCGCAAAAAACAGACCCCATTTCATTGTTCACAACAGTCACAACACATTTTAGTGACAGAATCTTTCTAACGAGGGCATAGCGCCGAAAATTTACGAAGGGCTTTACAAGCACATTCACATCTGTCCCTGCCCTTAAGGAGCTTACAAGCCAAGGTCCATATCTCACAGTGTGGAAAGAAACCAAAGTACCTGAAGGAAACCCAAGCAAGCACAGGGAGAACATGTAAACTCCTTGCAGATAAAGACCTTCATACTTTGCGTTCATTTTTCCCTTGCTTGTCATCCATGGTCAGCCCATTGAGTAGCTTATGCAGCATTTTCAGCTGCAAGCACCCCATACATTTTTCTACATGCGCTTGTGTGCAGGAAAAAGCATTTTATCGTCCGCATTTGGTGTGCTGCTAACACGCAATGGAACTGCAACGCCTGTTTTTAGCGAGTTTTGATGCAACATAAAAGGGGACTAGGGCTGAAGCCTAGGTTTAACTGGAGTGTCCTATTCTTATAATTGGTCAAACTGATCTAAAAATAGACAGGATCATTATAGTATTACCACTGCTTACCCTTACCTTGCTATGTCCTTATTACAGTATGGTGCCAAAAATTGCAACCCGTAATGTACATGTGATTTGCACAGAGGCAGCCCTATACTGTACTGCTTTCAGTATACACATTTCAGCCCTATAACATAACCAATTCTCCCCATAGCTTCCAAAAAATGCAATGAACATGTCTCTCTAAACCCCTGGCATGCATACATGTCATTGTGAATACAAGCTGAAAGGAAGGTTAAAAAAATCAGCTGAACTGGAGCCAAAGCTGAACATTTTCATGAAAGTGCCTATGTTTGGAGGGTTTCCAGAAAACATAGAAGAAATGTTGGCAAGATCTGAGAGTATGTGCAGGAAATCTGTAATCCCTGTTTATAAGGGATATTAGTTTAAGTTTTCCTTTCTCATGAAAGAGCAATCAAGTGAGCTATAATAATATGTAGGACATGCCTAAAAAAATAAATGGCAAATAGGTTCTGCATGCAGTTTCAAAACTGAGAATTTGTGGAATTTAAAAAGGAGTGGATGGGGACACGGTGTATTTACTACTGATGTACCAGTTTACCAGAAACAAATAATTCACACATTAACTTGTGAGTAGTGCCATGTCTTCTCCTATAATCTTGAAAGCCGACAGCTGTCACTTCTCTTCTCTGAACAGATGTTCTCATTTGCTACAAAAACACAGAGGAATTATTATTCAGAAATTATAGTTGATTCAAGTTGTGAATTGTGTATGCAATGAGGAAACATCGACTTAGAGAAGAAAATGCAAGAAGCCTATTTGCTGACGCCAAATGTAAATTGTGAGTAGAAATACACATATCTCCCAGCTACAGTGCTTAAAGTATGATGGATAAAGAACTTGAGTAAACACACTGTTTGCATATGAACTAAGATGGTGTATATAGGACCTACACTTATAAACAGTCATGTTTATAAGTGGCTGATGTTAAAGCAAGCAGGAACAGACAATGTATCCAGGATGTCTGATGTAAGCAAAGAAGGCAAAAAGAGAATTTGTTCACATAATGTATGGTCTAAAAATCTCTATCATTAGAAAAGATTAGACTGGAGTTTCTCTGTGCTAAATATACAGAGCTTTACAGTAATGAGCAAGCAATTACTAAACATACATCAATAACATTATAACCTATCATGCCAAAGGCAAAGGCTATAAGACCATCTCCAAGTAACTTGATGTTCCTCTGAATACAGTTGTGAATATTAAGACATTTAAAAGGTTCATAGGAGTGCAGCCAACTTCCCTGGATGTGGCCACAAGGGGAAAACTGACCCCAGATTGAACGGGATAGTAAAAATGGTAGACAAAGAGCCAAGTAAAACTTCCAAAGAGATAGAATCTGAACTCCAAGGTCAGGGTACATCTGTGTCTAATTGCACCATTCGTTGTTTTATCGTAACAACAATGTGCTGAAAGGAAGAAAAATGGCAGAGGCTTGGTTATGTTTTGGAGTGCTTTGCCGCATGTGGCATAGGGTGCCTTGAATTTGTACAGAGCACAATTAAATATCAAGACCATCAAGGAATTCTGGAGTGACATACTTCTCAGTGTCAGCAAGCTCTGTCTTGGTCACAGTTCATCGGTCCTAAAACATGATAAATACTGAAAACACACTAAAAGCACCAGAAAGTGGCTAAGTACCAAAAATTGGAGCCTTGATCTGAGTCTTATTAAGTATCTATGGAAAGAGCTGAGACATGCAGTTTGGAGAAGGCACCATTCAAACCTAAGACAGCTGGAGCAGTTTCCTCAACAGTGGGCCAAACTACCTACCTGTTAGCAGGTTAGGTCTCACTGTGAGCCACCAAAATCACTTTTTTTTTCCAGTGATTGTCTGTAAACGTTATGCACAAGTATTAGGATGACATTTTCATTGTATTATTTAATATTCTGATGAATCAAAAATCCAAAGCAAAGTCTGATTTTTATAAAGTGTGGAATAAACAATGATGGTTACCAGTTAGAAAGTTAACTGGTCAGAAAGTTACTTTCCAAAAAACTTGGGTTGTTATTGGGTTGTCAAAGGGTTTGGGGAAAAAAAACCCACATGCAGTACATCTCTGCAACAATACGTGCATGTAACCCCATGGTTTATCACTTTTAATATGCTGCACGTACACAAATAAAATAGCTGATCTCCACAAACCAGGGTGCTCCTTACTTCCCGTTTGATCTGACAATACAGCACATCTGCTGCACTGAAATCCTGCATGATATAATCAGCCCTGCCCAGTTATCCCTGCTGTTGGACTACAGAACAACGTCCCCCTAGCCTCATCTTCAAAATGGGGGGTGTTGGTCACGTTTGGGGAAAGTTGTGTAGTCCAGAATGTGAGAACTGGGCATGGTTGACAACATTTCAAGAGATTTTAGTGCAGCAGAGGCATTGTCGGGACACTAGACAAAGTTTCAAGCTTACTGGATTTCTGGCAGGATCAACACGTATATTTCTTTGCTTACAGTGGTATTATAGTGACAAATCATGGGTTAATGTGTATGTATTTCAATAATGCACTCAATATAGTTTTTATTTTTATTTTAACTGGGTAATTTGATTCAGAGTGAAAAGTTTGACATTTTAAAGTTG